GAAACTCTTCTACTAATTACATAATTTATACTAATTAAACAAAATTAAGTCAATTTCTTTCCTCTTCACTACACAAAACATACACCAGCTAACTGCTTGATTTTTAAGATCACCCTCTTCTCGCCCTCTATTATTAGAATTTTTAAGTTCCTTTATAAAGTTTTTCTATGTTTTTGTCTCACTTTATTCCATTATACAATTTTTATTTTCATTTTATACTCAGCTCATATTGGACATTCGAAGAAGAAAAAAATTAGAAATCTTTTTATAAGATTCTTCTAATGTTCAAAAAAAAATGTAAGAAAATGAAGAAGGAGAAAATTGAGAAAAAAGAAAATTTAGAGTAAAAATCATCATTTCCATTTTATCCTTTTCATTCTTAATTTATTTTTCTAGCTGTATACATAATGAAATCCCAACATTTGCGTTTTTGATTAATAAATGGCCAAATTAATTACTTTTTATGTTCATTTAGTAACAAGAGAAATATTTTTTTCTTTTATTTTCTTTTTATATTTTCTAAGAAATTCAATTTACCACTTAAATACGTAAATACTTACTTGTACCTCTACAATTTAAATTAACAATATTCAATGCATGGACGCTGGGAGAATCAAGAGAAGCACAACAAAGGTTGTTGGCTTTCCATATTCTAAACCCTTATTAAGGTGCATGGGGTCAACACAATGATCGAATTGGAAAAAAAAAATATATTAAAGAGCTTCGAAAACCTCATAACTTTACTTATCTTCCCCATTTGGTGTTAGCTACAAAAATTTTTTTCGAACAGTAAATCGATGAACTCGTACGCGTCTCAATGATGCAATGAAAAATTTGTTGCAAAATCAGATTGTAAGATAAATATAGGGGCATGGTAACCTTGTTATCAAAAAATTAAAATAAAAGAACAAGAATTAAATAAGGGGATATGAAAAGGATCTCCATTCTTAATATCAGACATTTTAATTTCTTTCGTGATTTTACGAAATAACACGCACAAAAAAATTATAATTAAAGTAATTTTGGCCAATAATAACAATCACCGTCTACATTATGCATATATACAGACTTCGGTTCAGATTAAATTTCGCTAGTGTCAAGACTTTTACGAAATAGGGAAATGATATTCAAAACGGAAACGAGAATTTGATGATTAAATGGAAAAGATAAACTAAATAATTTTAGAAGAAAATTTGAAATTCATATTTTAACACCAGTTTAATTAAGGAAATTAATTTTCATAGAACTTTAATTGAAACAACAACATTATCGCTTCTATAATATTTTGATAAAGCTACAGTAGATGAAATGAAATTCATTATAAGCTAAAAATGTAAAGAAATTTTCATAGATTTCGTGATTTTAGAACATTATATACAAATTTAGGATATAAGATTTGAAATATGAAAAACACCTAAACCAAATCGATTAGAATAATTAACAGAAATAATAAAGTCTATTATGATTGCCACTAAAAGGCAATAAAAATTATTGATTACATCTAAATAGTTTTACAAACCCAAAAGAACTTCTAAATTAATTGCTCATTTAGTTTAATTCATAAGATAAGATGAATGATGACAATAATTTCGATAATTTCGTTAAAACTTGATTGCTGCCAATATGGGTTATATAATTTAAAAGAAATAAAAAATAGCCGAGAATTATTGTTATAAACCTTCTACGCTAATTTTCTTGCATAATAAAATCAAATCACTTAAATTAAAAGTTTTGCATTACTTTTGATCACGAAATAGCACTTGAAAAACATTTCATTTTAACGTACCTAGTTGATAAAAGCGTTCTTAATTAAATTTGTGTGCATACTTCGAAATTGGTAATTTTTAAGAAATTATTAGAAAACCAGTTCTTTTAGTGCAATGTGTACAGCGTTTTTCGGAAACAAGTGGGTCTGTCACTTATGAGCATTTTGAAAATATTTGATAAATAATTCAATTAATTTGTTGTAGTTTTATATAACACTAAATTCAGTATCTTAATATTATTTAATACATTAACATTGGTTGCTAATTGGCCCATACACATATTAGTAACAGTGCAACCACCAAAAATAAATTATCTTTAATCATGTATGAGTTGACAAACCAGCGTAATTTCTTAAATAATTGTTAGCATATAAAAACAATTAAACTGCAATTCAAAACAATTAAACTGCAAGTATACTGTATTATCGTAGGTAAGCGTAACTAATGTTATGTATTTCATTAAAAGGCAAATTATGGTCTTTTATTAAGGAAACAGCTTTCGATCACTGCCATTAAGGAAAGTACAACTTAGCAGAAACTTTAAATTACTTCTTTTTTCAAAAATTCGGCACGCATAGTCTCTACAATTTACTAGAGCTGCTTCAAAATTTTCAAATATACATGGTTTCACACATACGTACGTATGGAATACCTGTTTGTAATATGTTATACATAATAAATTTCCATAATAATACTAAAAGTATGCTATTTTCATTTAACTCAGATATATACTCGCATGTATGTATTCATAATACAGTTTAAATGCTTTTGTATTACTTGTTATTCTACAAGGGCTAATTTGATTAAGGCCAATATTGATTTATTCACACTTTTACAATTAGCTAGGCATTAACAGATAATATTTCATTCATTTATTCATTTATTGCCTGATTCGTTCTTCTTTTTTGCTTTTGCATTTCGTTTATTCATTCATTCATTCATTCATTCATTTTCATTAATTAAATAACATCAATTAGTGCCATTAATAAAAGAATAAAGAAAATAAAAGAGAAATGAAAAACTTTTACAAAAAATTGATTCGGCCTTTAAAAAAAAAAATTTTGCTTTTCTGTTACTGGGAATTTTCATAAAGGATAAACAGAGGTCGTTTTGGATTAAATGATTTTCTTTTTCGATAACAAAACAAAAAGCACCACTAACTGTTATATTTAAAGGACTTTATTAATTTTTTCTGCAATTGATGTAATTTTTGTCAAATAATCGTCATGTGTTTCAAATAACTGTTAATTTTTTAATTATTTGCTAAAGTCAAGTAAAGAAGTATACTTATATCTTAATTCCTTTCCTCAATTGTAAGAGTCCTAATTGAGCCACTGTTTAAACTCTCTAGTACTGAATTCCTACTGAATTCCTATTGAAGGATTAAAATTACAGTTTGTTTCCATATTCCTGCTTTTAAAAACCGAATTCGGCTAGTACAGTGAAACAATTTTAAAGTTTATTCGAAAATTCTATATACAAAATAGGTATATATACAAATAATTTATTAATATATGTATATATAGAAAATGTTTTGTTATGCTTAAATATATACAGGACATATCTATTTTAAGTATGGTCCTATGTACAATTGTTTAAGGCCTTATGGGGTTTTTGCATAAAATTAGTGCTCACAATTCCACACGTTCCAAAATATGGAGATCAATTTCGACCGTTTGTTTTCTTTTTAGCTCTAAATTTTTGGGAATTTTTGGTATTACTTATGCTTTTGTGTGTGACAGACTCCTGATTTTGTATGGCTTTGACAGGAATATACATAATAGAAATAAAATTTTTGAAGGAATATAATATTAAGAGCTTCTGCACAATACTTATATAGGGATATATCCAACGACATAGCAATGTGCTTGTGATTAGAAAAAAAAATGTTCTATTGAATTTATATATCCAAACTTACATAATATGTAAGTGTGAATTTAAAATATTTTCTTTTCTAAATCAAAATTTATGGAATCAAATATGCAAGTAATTTTAAAAAAAAAAATTAAAAAATGATTTAGTTTACTCTAAGAAATCAGAAGAAGTGTTAACTTAACAAATTGTGTATTTTTTGTTTATAAATTTCAGGTCAAAATTCTATTACGTGAAATAACTAGATAGGACCTTAAACATTAAGTTTGTGGCTCAATTTTAGAAGTAAATATCCATATGTAAATTATTAATACTATTGAAAAACAATTCCCTAACATTTTAACAAGTTTCGAATTTTTATTATTTTATCATTATAGCAATGCATTTCCAAGCAATTTGTGAAAATTTTACTTTAACTTTAACTTGAATAATATCTGATCCAGATCTGCATAAGAACTATTATAAACTGAGAAGAATTCACTTCAACATTCCTTGAAATAACATTACATATTCCTTCAGCTATGCTTCGTCACATGATTCGTAAATAAGTGGAAAAACATTATATGCAACTTTTCTTAAATTGGAATTCTTTAAAAATAGTATTTGGCAGAAAATCGATTTCGTGTTTATTAAAAAATTCTCAAAATTTTCACATCACATTTAATCGCATATTTGTTTTCTACATAATATATTTTACATAATAACGCATATGCATACAAACGAATTGAAAATTGTGAAAATAAACAATGTTGACGCCACTTTGAAGACATTTTCTTAAAACTTACATACATATTTACAAAGAACATGATAGAGAATGTTTACAAAAATTTTATACGTTACATATACATAAATGTACATGCATGTAGGAGTATACGAAAAAATAATTTTTGCTATTTTACAAAAAAATAAAAACAAATACAGACTAATGCAGTATTATAGATTATTTTTAAATCTTATAGAATAAAGTTTCTCGTGGAAAAGTTTAATTTCAAGTATTAAAGTATGCAACGCCAGACAAAATATTGAATTTGTATTGATTTGTGTGGCAATTAAATGTTACGTGAATTCTGCGAATGCTAATTTGGATTTATTTGTTTTATCAGGTACTGTCCAAATTTTGAGTATATATACAAAGTGGTCCTGTTCTCGTGTAAACGCGGTCGTAGGGTACCGTTTTAGAATAATAGTTGTTCAAGCATAAAATTTTGAGTTAAAAATCTAGAAATTTTTAAAAGAAAGTTAATTATCTTAAAATTTCGCCTTTTTTCCAACTCAACCTTGTAGTTTCAACAGTTACAAAGATGGCTTAGAGTAACTATAATATTTTTTATAACAGATACAATATGTTTAATTATTACTTACCGTTTTGCAAAATCTTCAAATTTAAATAATTTTTCAACAACGCCTGTTTCACCTGAAAGTAGAATTAATAATTGGTTATATGCGTCTAGTGACTTCATCATTAATTTTGGTATTTGTAATTCGTTTACATTCACTTCGCTATCTTAATTTAATATTTTATTGCACTCACCATCTTCTTCAGAATCACTAGCTTCGTCCTGTTCTGCATTCTCATTTTCCTGATCTTCATTATCAGATTTGGAAGTGATTTCATCAACTGTAAAGAAAATTAAAAAGTTCAGTTTATAGTTTCTTAAATTTCAGAATGAAATCAAGTGCGTGAGAGAACGCAAATAAAGTATTCCAAATAGAAAATAAATTTTTAATATTGCAGAAATTTTTCGATTTTTAGTCAAAAACCTGTACTACATACTAGAACTTAACGTAAATCATATGTGTATACACATTTTGGTATATAACCAAAATATTTTAGAACTCTATACCCATTATGTATACTTATATACAGGTATAAAAATATTTGAATCCAATTTTCGTGCAAATTTTACTTGTTCGTTCCGGAAAATGGGCAACGCATAAATAAAAATACACAAAAAAAAACAAGTAATAAATAAAATAAATGTAAAAAATTTTGAACAAACGATCAACCTTTCTTACTTTTAAAATTCCCTGAAGGAACATTTAAGCCAATTTATTTTCTAAAATCAGAATAAAAAAGAAAATAAGGATGAAAAAAGTTATATAGTATACAAAATAGTGGACAGAAAAGGACACATGTGATAACTGCTGTTAAGTACATATAAGGACTTTTGTTTTTTTTTTTTTTATGGACGAGTTTTGCTTGGATGTGTACGCACTAAATTTTAACATTAACATAGAATAGAGCCCATGTAAACAAGTTTTTAGTTCCTAGAAAATATTCATGATTCAAAACTCTTTGAGTAAACTTTTACTAATTTTTTTTAAAAGGATGTTTCTTTTTGTACTACACAGGAATTCGTAAGGATTCTAAACACAAAATATAAAGAGAAAATATTTTCACACTTTATTCGTTTTTTGGACTCAAAGTACAAATTTTATGTGTTTAAATTTTTTTTTGTACTAACGACTTTACGAAAAAATTTTTAAAGTGCTTTACGAAAGTTTGATTTGGTTACGTAAGACATTACATTTAAAAATTTAAAATTTTAGTAATTTCGCACAACACCTTGAATGCTGCAGCATAAGTGGTTCAATTCATGTGTAACCCTTCTGATTACGGCAATGAAATCTATTAAGAAACAATTCCAAATGTTAACCCTTAAATTAGGTTTAAGTAATTACTACAGAACACACGCTCAAATCAAAATTGATAATAATTACGAGGACCGTTTAAGAAAACGGACGTATTTTAATTTTTATCGGTTTTTCTAATGAAAAGATTTTTAAGATTATTATTATTGCATAAGGCTTTTGCACTAGCCTTCATACTCCCTCTTTTTAAAACTTTTCCAAACCGCATATCTTTTTTAATATTTCATTACTTTGCATTTTAAAATATAAATACAATTTATTTCCGTAATAATTTTTTCTATTTATAATCATAATGCGGTTTATCGGTGTTATCATATAATTGATAAATCCGTTTGACGTCAGCAAACACGGGGAAAAATTCTTATAAATAAAAATGTAAACAATAAGCCCACAAATGAATTTTTTTTTATTGCTCATTTAGTGATTTCCATTCATAATTATGCAAACACTTTATTATTATATTGAATAAACTTGAAGTTGTCTAACGTTTAAACTTATTGAAATGCATTGCTAGAATTTCAAGCCACATTTTGGGAGTTTTTAAAAGTTTTTAGCTACAAAACATAAAACGAACAAAAATTTTTTTATTGAAAACATGAATATCGAAAGTCTAAAAGTCTAAAAAGAAAATATTAACACAACTTTTACTGCGATAAAAGAGTATTTATGAAAAGAATCTTAATACTCAGTTATATATGGTCTTGAAACTAAGAGAAGATATTAATGTAGGAATAAAGTTGCTACATTCAAGTCCACATGTAGCGGTGTTATTAATTCTAGTGGCAATCTTTTAGAAAATTTTTAGAATAATTTTTATTTCCCTGTTTTGACATCAGCTTTTCCTGATGTTGAGCTGCGACTATAATTATACCACTCTCTATTATCTCTAGAATTCACATCCTCTTTATAATAAACTCATTCTAATCTAAAGCAATGATTTTTTGGTGTCAAAAACTGAGTAGAAACTTATATAACCAAACTCCTTTACTTCTTTAATGATTTTATTATTGATTGCTTCCCAAGACGACAAGAACTGTTTTACATATGTGACTAACTCGCAAAATCATTCAGCTTTCTATACAAGTGCTTTTCAACATTCTGTGTTATACATGCTATCAAATTTATAATACTTTTGCAATATTGTATAATAAAACTCAGACTAAAACAATAATAATAATATAACATCGTTATTTTTTCATCTTTCGTAACCAAACGTTTATAAAATTCACAAGACACCATCTCTTCTTATTATTATACTCTTATTTATATATACACATCTATGTATAAATTCGCTGTGCTGTTATTTGCATCTGAAATCCTTTCCAAAAAATTTAGAAATAATATTTCTTTTTATATTGTCATAAAATATTAAAAGGAAACTATATAATAAAATAAAACAAGTTAGAAGGTAGAGAATGATTTGAAAAAATCATAAACATATTTCATAAAATATGAAGCTACTCTATATTTTATAAAAGAAGTCTTGGAATATTCTACAAAGTTTCAAGAAAGTTTAAACTTCGAATGTTAAATAGCAATTGAACAAATAACTTTAAAAATCCAAGTTATATTTTGTTTAGTTTAGCCCACATTATAGACTTTGGAAATGATACACTGTAATGACATTTAGAGATTATTTTTTAGTATATTATAAATTGAAAATTTTAGACTTGAACTTTCTAATGAGAACATAACTAATACAAAATTTAAAATACTCACAATATACATATACTCAAAAAAACTTAGGACGAACGGACAAGTTGGTTATGAATAAGTGAAGAAAAAAAAATTTTATTAAATAAATGTGCTAAAAAATTATAACAATTGTGAATCCTTAAATAGAAAAATAATAAAAGGGAAAACAATATTATATAACACTCATATACTCCGATTTAATATGTATATATATATAGGCGGGTGTCTATAATAAAAGTGTTGTTATAACGTATCAATGATTTTGTATTCATAAAGGTTGACTGCAAAATAAAGTCAGTTTCAAATGAAAACTGATTCTTGAAATATTTTTCACGAACTTTGGAACTCATTGCAGCTGCATATTGATAATTTTGTTCTTATTTTCAATTTGAATTTAATTTCAATAAGGAATTCAGTATAAATACATACGAGAAAATTCGAAGCGTATGTAACACATAATTAGATTTTAGATTATTGTCGTATTAAAAAAGCCTTATTTTCTGAATACTTCAACTTCATTTAATATTGCTGTTGAGAAGATATATTGGATAAACTTTGTATAATTTTCTTCTTAAGCCGTACTCCATTGTTTATATTGTTATTTGAAATATTTCTTCTATATGTCTGTTGAGAACAATGACACTGATATAACAAAGGTGAAAATTAAGAATTGTATTACCTATAAAACATCGTGATTAAGTCTAACATCTGGTAAGCTTGTAATAAAATATAGTTTTGAACTTCCATAAAAAACTTTCAAAATTTTTAATTTTTAAATTAATTTCTGTTAGAAGTAAGCATAACGTTGATTTAAACCGTTTCATTTTTCTATGGAAATCTATAAACACAATTCCCATGTTTTCTTTCCATTCCGGAAATATTGACGTTATTTATCGGATAAACACAAAATGTACAACAAGAAATCCGTTATATAATATCTTTATATTTTACTTAAATTACCCTCAAAGAATACATTTATTATTTTTATTATTATTACTATTTTTATAACAATAAATTTATATTATTATTAGGATAATATGTGAAAGAAATGAAATTTTTCAAAATACGAGTACACAAGTTAAAATGTATGCTTATTATTATTTTATTTTTCTATAATAAGCATCACTATTTAAAGCTGCGCCGCGTATTAAATTGAATGTGAAGTTTTTATTAATGGCGAAGTTATTTGAAGGAAATGAGTGTTATCATTATTGTAAAAGGAGTTCACATCCTTACAATTTAATACAAACAACAAAAACATTTTTATTTTGTTTTGTTGTTTGTTTTTTTTACCGGCTACAGTGTTATTACAATGGAGATAAACTGTAAGTGAAGGTTATACGTTGGAAATGTATAAATGTAATATAAATATAACAAAAGATGGAAGGAAACTGTTGTAGTTAGTTTTCTTCAATGTATATGTTATGAATAATGAAGTAAAATTTTGGTAGCCCATTAAATAAATTTTATTGCTTTAAGGTATATTTTAGGTGATAATCTATATTATGTATATGAAAATAAATGTCATTGTTTTAGAACAGAAACCATTATAAAAAGAAGATAAGGTTTGGTTATTTGGCGACTTTTTATTATTTTTATTTCTCTGTCTTTTTTATTTTTTGGTTGATAATAATTTAAATGCAATTTTATATTAAAAAAAAATTCTAAAAACTCTCTGATATCATTAAAAACAACAGATGTTAAAAATTAATAAATTTTCGGGTTCAAATAATAAAATTATAATTAAAAAGTGTTTTTATAATGACATAATGGATGCCAAAAATATTAAATTGCCGTAAGATTTGGCAATAAATTCGGAATATAATCTTTTAATAACTTAAAATATGGCCGTTTTATATAATTCCCAATTTTTAATTATTATTTTAATGTTATTGTACTCATATTAGTATCCCACACAATATATTAATTTGTTTTTTTTTAATAAACAGCAATATTTTAATAAATTTATACAAATAATGTAATAAATATGTACTTAACAATATGATACTCGTTTATTTGTTTGTACATTTTATGTAAATCACACCGGAAAAATAAATTTTAATAAACACACTTTTTCAAAAATATTTGATATGGCGAAAATGTGACATGACTGGTTGAATATGAAAAATTAATTAAAATAATTTTTGAAAATAAAAAAAAGATCAAAAGGTATTAGAACAATTTGAACAATAACCTGTAGCAAAATAATTAAAATATAAGAAAAATCAAATATTCAAATTTACGAAATTAAAATTATTTTTCAGCAATACAAAACAATCTGATGTAGTCTGCACATAACCGACCGCAATGTATATTGTCCGGTTTAGGAAAATGGTACAGAAGATTATGAAAATGCGTTTGAAACAGCTTTTTTTACTAAACACTAGTAAATTTTTATTAACATACCTAGAAAAAAGTAAATTTCGCTCTCAGTAGAGTTTCGCTTTGTGCCATTCGAATTTTCAAGAAATTACATTAATTATTAGTTCCGCAGATATAATAAAAAAATTAAAATCGGCCCCTAGTTCGGCTTCCAAGCTCTGATTGTTGCAAACGTTTACAGGTTCATTATTTAAATACCCCAAATTCAAATTACAAATTTTAAGCAAATTGGTTCATTATTTCTCCTTATATATGCAAAAATGTAAAATCGACAAAAAGGTCAAGTGCTTAAGATTAGATATATCCATATAAAATTTCATTAAAATCGGTTTAGCCAAATTTCAATTAAATACGTGCACACACAGACAGACAGACTGGCACCTCTCAAAATATACTTCATTTATGCTTCCCCACAATGAAAAGTGCATTCTCACCGAAAACTCGACATCGAAAAAATTTAGTGTTGCTACATAAACTCCCATGTTGTATACCTACCGTATTGGTAGATAAAATTGAAACAAGTAGGTATTATAGGTGTATCCATTTTTGATGCCGAATTTAAAGCAAAATTAAAAATTCTTATACCGAAATAAATCAACAAATGCGTTTATACTTGTAATGATTGTGAAGCTACATATTTGGATAGTGAACGTAATATATTTAGGCATGTTAAAGATTTACAATTATTAATTGTGGGTTCATGAAATAAGTTACATATAATTTAACCGATTCCCCTAATGGATTCAATCAAAACATAAATTATTAAAAATGAATAAAAATTTGGAAAAACAAAATCTTTATTTAACTATACAATATAAATCAGTTTACAAAGTGACAATAAGCACTGCAAGATTCTGAATGCTTATTAAACTAAAATAGTACGAATTAAAACAAAATTCAAAATATTAAAATTTATATTGTAGGAACTTTTACTGCTTACATAACTTTTTTTATTCGTAGCAATTAAAGTGTAACAGGTATATAAGGGAATTCTTTGTATAAATTTTTTACTTTGCTTATTTTATTCTTAAGGAGCATAATAGAATGTCAGAAATTTAATATTCTTAATTTTAAAGTTAAAATAATATAAAATATTTCTTTTTGTTTGCAGTTTTTTTGAATTTTTTAAATATTTGAAACTTTATTTTCACAACATTTCAATTTAAGTTTTAAAACTTAAGGATGATGTTTTTAATATATAAAACAATTGCATAACACTTATAGTGTTAACCCTAGAAAAACAATGCTTTTTGTATTAAATTCTTTGTAATTCATTTTTGTTCTCCTTTTATTTTTCATTACCATACATAGATTATTATGTATAATATTTCGAATTTTTGTTAAAATTTTAATTTTCAGTAATTTTATCTCAAACATTTATGTATGTATTTGTACTATCATATATATCAACATAAATGGGTTTCAATCCGAACACTGCATTATACAATATTAAAATTTCAAAAAAAAAATTTAGAAAAATTATACACTATCTGAAAACGATAAAAAACTTTTGCAACCCCTGTAAAATTTCAATATTTTATTCTATGTTAAATATAGGAAAGAGGCATAAACACTTTTCGTATACTTTTCATTTATAGTATATGCATGAAAACGATGCTGGAACTCTTTATACTCAACCTTAACTCATTTATACAAAGTCTAATACAAATTAATATGAAAATTTTTAAAAAACTTTTGTACCAAATTCAAGTTTTTTTTACAAAAAATTTTAATTTTGTTATCAAATAAATGATTCTAATCTGAAATAATCCATTTACTAAGATCATATTGAACTTTGTCAATTCCATATTATACTTTAAACACTATAATTTTGATAACTCCAACATTGAATTAAAAAATTATACTGTTTTACTTTTATCTAATCAAATTGGAAGGATATAAAGTTTATTGATTCCAATTCATCACATAATTCCACTGGCAAGAATAGTTTGTAACTATATCTGTAAGAAATTGCAGCTGACATACAACTTCAAAAGTTATTCGTTCATATCATAGAAACTATTGCAGCTATACTGCGTAAAAAAAACGAAAAGTTGTATTCAACTCTTAAAATTATTTGTTAGTACAAGTATCATAGAATTGACACACTCAATTCTACCTTTTACGAGTATCATTTTTTGAGAAGGAGAGCAAAAAGGAAACCATGCAACCAAACGAGAAATCACCAAAATTGAGTGCGAAATCACCAAAAGCGGCAACAATTTTCAAATTAAAATCTGAAATTTAATTTTTAGTTAAATAAGGAAAAGCAAATATAAACAAAAAGTGATTGAAAAAGGTCCTGTCGGGACACTGTCAATTCAGAAAGCTGGGCCTAGAAAGTGTGCATACTTGCATATTTTTTGGAGAAAATGAGCTATAGAAAGTTTTTCAAGTATATTGTGAACAAATTTATGGAAAGTAAAAATGTTCAAATTAAAGCAAAAATCAAAAGACCACTTCAAAAGACCTCCGCACAAGAAGGGCTGCGGTTCTACGCAAATAAAGATAACAACTAATATGAAGTACGTAGAGTGCGAGAATAATTATGTAACTTTTAGAGTAATTTGTTTATATAAGTATCACAGACTTTACACGGTCAACTGTACCCATTCTTAATTCGTACATTACTTCAAAATGTCTAACATGTATACGTGGTTCTTGTATTATTTCTCTTTTCTTCATATTAATATAAAAGAATATTCTCCAAACCAGTACACAATTTTTAATATGAGCTATTTACTCTTCCACTTATGTAATGAAAAGCTCATCAATCAGTTTATTCCCATTATTTTTTGTGGGGGATTTCTGTAATATGCAGCAATTTATCCAACATATAATGGTTTATTAGATCCATCCTACAAATCATATTTTTGAAAGTAATAAAAATATCAGCGTTTCTTTAAACAAAAATTTTTTTCCATAGGCTAAATTTGATATAAAAAAAAAATTGATAAGAAATTCAAAAATTTACAAGGAAGTTTTATATAGGGTTATGGCACTCCTCTTACATAGATATACGTTTACACAAATGTTTGTAGAAATAAATTATAATTATTTTCAAAAATGGCATAAGGAGTTTTTGGAAAACAGATAAACGAAATTTATCAAAAATGATTTTCATAATAGATTAGTAAAAGATAAACTATACTTAATTACGCTCTATTAAGCATGAGCATCGAAATAACTGCAATATATGCACTAAACTCCCACCGAAAAATTGAACCATTTATTGGAAACAAGAACTAACTAAAATGGCGATATCTTTCTCGAAGTTTCTTTCAAAGTTGTGAGATATCTTTATAAAATTTGTTTAAGTTCAACATTTCTTATAAAATTTCGCTAAGTTCAACATACCGAAACTCGAATATTCTCTGAGAGTACTTAATAATAAAAATATTAACAACAAAACTAAATATATTCTCTTCTATTTATTCAAAGTTTTATGGATCCTTGATACAGATTTTTCTTTTTTTTTTCATATTGCTAATAAATTGCAATCTCCCCTCTATCAAAATATTTGTTCGCTTACACTTTAATTTTTTCCCTTACATTTTCTATTCAATATTTTTCAAAGAAATTGAAATGAAGTTTGCAAAGTTCGCAAAATATTTTTCTTTTTCATTTCATTTTTTAATTCAGCTGTACTTACTTCCTGTAAGAAAAGATTACAGAAGGAGTTTCATTATAATTCTAATTTATGTTTCCAAATGGGGATAAATCTGTTCTAAAGTATTGTTGTAGTGCAATTCAAAACACTATTATTTACTCATTCATATATATATATATATATACGTACTTCCACTATAAGATGGTTAACAGGAGAAGAATTCATTATTTTCTCAATTTTATTCTTATATTTTGCTTATATTTGAATAAATTATTTTTGTTTTATTACAGGGTGATTTAATATGTAATTTGTATTTTAAATAATTCTATTTAAATTTTTATGATTTATGAAATTTTAAAGCAAAATTTTATAATTATTTCATATTTATAATTTAATATATTCATAAGTGAACATGTGTTAAAATTCAGAAATAAGGACATTGTTTTTATTATCATAATTTATATTTGAAAGTTTGTATTTGACTAAATCATGAACAATTTTCTTTTGGAAAATCGAGAATGAATATACAACGGAACACGACGACGAAATAATGTTATTAAGCAAAATTTTGAAATTAGGGGTGGACGGCAAACAATCATTAATTAAATAACTTTCCAAATAAACTTATCATATACGAAGGTAGTAATATTCGCACCATAATTAAACTCGAATATCGAGATGTAATTTGTGCAGTTGCATACCTAGTCAATTTATAGGTTTAGTTTCGAAACTAAATTTACGAACATATTAAACTTGTTGCATTTTTTGAAACCAATGAGAATTTAATTAAATAAACGTAAATAATTTTTTATGAATTATGACAATAATTTAGAATAATGAGCATAAAATTGATGAATTCTTTATTGACCAATATCCCTATTCTTAAAGTGTCAACTTAGACTCTGTTCTACAGTTGTATGTAGAAATTTTAATCGTTTATCTCAAAACATAATTAATTTAAATATTGTAATACGAAACTTGCGAAAGGAAAAGCGGATTGGTGTGTACATATTTTTCTTTCGTGAAAGAAATTGATATATGACTTCACACATAAAATTTATTTATTTTACAATTATTGTAATATATCGAGCTAAAATTATTGTTTAATGTTGCGAATTCTTATCATTCACACATAATATATTATTAATTACAGGGATCATGAATTAAAAAATTTAAAAATATGTAAAATCATAAATTGGTTTTATTTTTTTTTTAATATAATAAAATGCAATTAAACGGAGCGTTTGGCAATAAGGTTTAATAGTGCAGAATTTGTGTAGGTATGAATGTATTTATATAGGTATAGAATTGAAAACTGCAATGCAACAAAATAATTAAATGGTGTATGAAATGAAATTTATATTAATTTATAAAATTTATTATACTTAAATTAAAATTTTATTATTAATATACCTAAATGATTGTAATTATTTAATAATACAGAAAAAAATGCAATAAAAAAATTTATTTAATTGCAAAATAAAGGAAAACAAACCCAAAAAAAAAAACAAAAATTTTAAAAATAATTATTTTTTGCAATTAGTAAGTAAAAAATTAAATGTGAATTTAAATAAATTTTTTAAAATATTATTAAATTCTACTAAAATTTTAAAGAAATTTTTTGTATTTGATTGTGAATCAATTTTTAATTATTGCAATTAATTAAATTTCAATATAGTTAATTAAACATTTCTTTGGTTTTTTCTTTCTTTGATAAAAAATATTTCTTCCCAACAATGCAATACTTGTATTAGTCTAATATAATTTTTAAATTATTTTAACTCGATTAAAAACATATAAATTAAACTAATTACCAATAATTTATCTGTTTAAATTCAATAAAATTTAACAAAAATAAAAAAATTTTCTTGAAACAATATTGTTTTCTAAATTTTTATTAAAATTAAAAAAAAAAACGAGAGTTGTTATAGTTGAACGTGTCAACTACGTCAACTCTTTGCTAATCGCACGAATAGCGACGGACGGATGGACAGAACGACAGACATACATAGCTAAATCGACTCAGAATTCGAGCTGATCAAAACCGTATACTTCACTTTATATATCAGATCATTATTTCTTAGCGTTACACATAGTAAGGCAAAAGGCATTGTTACGACACTTTTTCTCACTTGTTTCTCTTAAATACACTTAAGAGATTTTTAACTGTGAAAGTGAAATTATGCAATAAAATTTGTTTATGTGAAAATTGTTCTTCAAAAACAAGAGTTCTCATTTCGAACATTCTTTTAGAATTAAAAAAAATTTGACACCAAATTTCGGATGTCATGTTTCGAATAGGAACGCGTTTCTTCATAGTAGAGAAGTGTAAATAAACTATTGTTAGAAAGGTGTTGGTCTGTCGGTGTACACCGGTGTATCTCAAGTTCGGCTGAATCGATTTTGGTGAAATTTAATAAGTGAATTTATTTTGGCTAGACCTCGGCAAATGGACCTTTTTGGGGGCCAATTTTACTTTTTTGCGCACGTAAAGAGAAATTATTAACTAATTTCATTGAAATTTAATATTTAAATACAGGGTGCTTTTTTGCTTTGTGGACGGGTGAAATCAGGACCCTATCTACGAAATAGATGAATGAAGTTCCTTGAGATTTGACAATTAAGTTCTGGTTGTTATCGATACTTACTGGCGAACTCTTCAACAGATTCGGATGGCACAAAGCGGAATTCTATTAAGAACCAAATTTACACTTTTCTAGGTCCTTTAACTAGATATTTGGTAACTTCATCAAAATCGAAAGGAAATATTAAAAAGCCATTTTCATAATTTTCTGTAACACTTTCACTAAAGAAGGCAACATATATTGCGGTCGCTTCTGTACTGACACACATGATTTTTTTTCTATATTTTTCTATTATAATTTCTATTATAGACAGAATAACGGCCTCCCCTCCAAAAAGCTGCTGTACTACTGTATTATTACAAAAAGTATTACAAAAAGCTACTGTACTACTGTATGCAATGAATTGTATTTGATGTATAATTTCTTGTATTTATAAAGAGCATTAAATATTACGGCCTACGACCATATGAGACCATAGACGTAAATTATAGACGAATTATACAATTTTCATCTAAAATTTTCTTATATTCCTCTTATATTTTAAGGGTAATTATTTGGAAAAAAAAGGAATAATAGCAGACAATTTATGTCTGGAAAATTTCACTTTTCATATAGTTTAAATTTGATGGCTAGAACAAGAATAGCAAATAATGGATTAATAAATTTATAGTTCCATTTTTTTGAAAAAAAAAATCATCATTATGAAAATAAAGTTCATAAAACGCAACTAACTGATTTTAAACAAAATAACTTCTTCTGCTATAAATTAAAATCTTTTTGTTATTAAAATAAAAAATATGTTATGAACTCTAAAATTGAATATTTCTTATATTGAGTCTATTGATTATTTGTTCCCATAATATAGGAATAAAAACGGAAATTATAAAAATTAAATTAAACGAGAAAATACAATTATTTTCCTACATTAAAAAGGATGCTCAATTCCAATCTATTACTCGATAACATTAAGCCTACATAAGATTTTCTGATGTTTTAAGTTTTGTCAGGAATTTTTTATTAAAAAAGAAATCACCCCAAATTTATTTTGCAAAAATACACAATTTGGCGTTTTTCTTTTATGTTATCGTGATTTAAAGGTCAAATCAATTGTAATAAATCTTCCTTTTAAAAGGGGAGACAGTGGAAAATCTATAACTAAACTGAAATTGCTGAGTCTATAATTTTATTTTATCATTTTATATTAATATTCCCTTCAAAAAATTCCCTCTAGCTGATTGAAGAAATGAAAAACTATTTTAATAATGGTGAGTTGCATTGATTATCAGAGTGAGTATAATTAGTTGAATCATGAAAGTATTAAAGAAATGGCAATAAATTTGGATTTAGTTAAATTAATTACATTATTTTTTATAACATTGCAAAATTGATTCGACTTACAAAGACAGGGTATTGCTAATTGTTTACGGTATTAGAATAATTGATTTGATAAGTTGAACTGCTATTAATAAATTCGGATATTTTATAATTACGATATTCTGCAGGGTTTAATAAAATTATTCAGTAAGTTCCAATAACGTATTATATTCATATGCTTATAGCTACTACATACTAACTAAACTATAATCATACATGATCATGACTCTTGATTTAAATAAAATTTAAGTAAAGAAATTAACTTGAAGAGTGAGTGACTTGAAGAGTAATTATCAAGGCGATGAAATTTTATTATAAAAATCAAAAAGATGGTCACTTTTTAGATGTAATTAAAACCTTAAAAATTAAAATTCTTAAATATAAATGATCATAGCAAGAAATTGAATTTCATTTCCCTTAACTTATATGCTTATATGTATTACGTACTTAAATCACGCTTGATTTCTGATTAAGTACTTAAAACACCATTGACTTTCTTGATTTCACACTTTTTTTTCATTTAAAAATTAAGAAATCAAAAAAGAATTATTATAGACGAAAATTTATTGTGCTATAAGTTCTCGGTGATAAAAAATATATTGTATACGAAAGTACTTTATAGAAAGTATAAGGAAATAATTCATATGACTGAATATAAATACTCGTATAACTATGTATCCTCTCAGGAAAGGATTTCTCATGCACAAAATGTTACTACCGTATGGATGAGCTTGGTATGATTTACATACATTTGAATTCTTTGTTGAAGATTTATATCTGCCAAAGGAAATTAAAAAATAGTTTTTGTATTTGAAATTTTGTTAAGACAACAATTACAAATTTTCTTTAGTACATAACAATATTTTTTTAATTTTCTTTCTTTGAATGTAGGGTGACCATATTTCCAGAATAACAAGAGATCGAAAAACAAAATATTGTAAAAAATTTTCAAGGCCCATACTGAAGTATAAAACAGCACTCGGTAATTCTATTGGGTTCCGTTCTTCCCAAAAGTATCAAATTGTACATAATAGTGCGAAAATTAATGAAAACACGATGACGAAATTTGCTGGTGGAAATTTGCTGGGTGTTTCAAGGATCAACTTGAAAACCCTTTGCAAATACTCTTTGGAAAGAAATTGGCAAGGCAGTTTTTGAAAATTCGATTAATTGTGCATACAAATTCAAATTTTATAACTTTAAATACGTGTATTTTGAAATAATATGCAAACATTGAACTTATCCATAACAGTTTGATATATTTACATACACATACATAAATAAATTTATATATATATGCAATCTCAATTATAAAAACTTTTTTGATAAAGGATTTTTTAACCTTGTTTTCGTTTTTTAAAATTATTTTAAAATTTAAAATTGAAATTACTTTGAAGGGCTGTTATGATGTATTAAAGCAAATCTTATAATAAAAATTCTTAATACTTTCTAAAAATGTGTGAATCTATGTTCTCAATAAAAGCAACGAGGTTACGTATGCAAAACAGGAACATACTCATGAGCAAAAACCTATATGTCGTTTATTATTTGGTAGAATAACGGCATAACTCAAAAAACCAAATTATTCACTATGAGCATTTGAAAATTTTTGTCAATCAAAACTCAATCAAACAAAAACCATAACCGGGTCTTATAAATGCAGTCATAAAAATAGTGTTACATTTAAACTGGTATGACAAATATTTTACAATGCGCGCACATTGAAAAAAATTATAACCTATTAAATGGCATCAGTAATTAAATGGTAAGTAATTGACTGCAAATCGAACCGCAAAACTTAAAATAATACGATGTTGAAAATGAAAAAGATAAGTTCTTCACTCTGCTGTTTTTTTGGAGAGCGACTAACGAATTTATATAAGGATAATGTAGGTAATATTTCTTGTTCGCCATGGCACATTTTTACTCAAAAATCCCATATTTTGATTTGCGTCAGTTTTCTCGGTAATAGACATGTATATGTATATTGCTGTAATGTTTAAAACTTATAAATTTTTCTAGTACAAGATTTCTTAATGGAATAGAAAACTATTTGAAAGCGCTTTTTATTGTAGAGGCTCATTTACATTTCTTCTTTTCCCTTTCATATAGCAATTATGATAAAATGTGAGCTAGATAACTTTTCACCTAGATATTAAGATTTCATGTACCCACTATTCATGAGTGTTTATATGCATGTATGTAAATACTTTGCACACAATATGAATGCATATATCAAAAAGAAATGCTATTATTAAAAAGGGTAAGTGATATTGATTTCTTGATGCATAACTTTTACATACATTTTTTCTTCCAGGAATATAAGTATATAGTAAGTTATGCTTATACAATTGAGATTTTAAATCCATTGGTTTGATATATACCATTATTCGTACATTATGCTCATATTTTATGATTCTACTATGGTACTTGATGGTATAAATGAAATTCTTTTAATCGTAAGAAAAATGTAAAGCAATAAATGAAAGCTTTTTAAATAATTGCATTCTTTAATACTTTTGTTACATTACATTTGAATTCAGAAAATAATTTAAATCCTTGTATTATTGAAATTCTTTTGTATTAAGATTGAATAAAAATGTTACCTCTGTGATTAAAATTTATGCTCTCATATTCAAAAATTCTAAGTTTTTGATGAACAATAGATTTGAAAAACAGTAATTGCCGGCAAAATACTCTATTAATCTTGCACGAATGATTAAAAAGCTTGTACTTTAAAGAGTTTTTGTGTTCACACGAATATTATGTAATAGTTTTTATTAAAATATATGTATGTGCAACCAACCTTCATTTACTGGGCGATATTAAGATATCTATATTAATCAAAAGATAATAAAATAAGGGTCAAACCAATAGTTCATATTGTAGCACTTTTCCCTTTAACAAATAAGAACACTGCTTTAAAAAAGGGTCTATGTACCTATTACATTATTACAATTACTTTCATTCATGTACGAATATATTTCAAAATTACATACCTTTAGGATGAGTAGAGTTAACAATCTTTAAAATAAAACAAAAAAAAAATCTCGTATGGTCAGCACATAACCGACCGCAATATGAATTGTAGTTAAATGAGAGTGTTACAGAATATCATAAAAATGTCTGTTAAATACTTCTTTCCAATTTTTAGGACATTAGTAAGCTTATAGTTAACATACCTACAAAAATGTAAATTTAGCTCATAGTAGAGTTTCGCTTTGTGCTAACCGAATATAAAATCAGTCCGCGGACCAGTTTTCGAGCGCTGATCTTTCAAAAAATTTATATGTTCATTGTTTTAATACGAAGAATTCAAATATTAAATTTCAGTGAAATAGGTTGATTATATCCCTTTATAAATGCAAAAATGTATATTTGGCCCGTAGTAAACGTCCAGTTCCTGTCACCTGATTTCTTCCAAAAGTAAGGAGCTTTCTTTATATATGAAATTTCAAGAAAATCGGTTGAATATTTTCTTCATAATGTTCAAAAATGTAAAACAGGCCGCTAAAAACTGCAGTTCTCCAGCTGGTTCGAAAGCCCTGATATCCTCAAGAGATTTGAAAGTTGATTGTTTTAACACCCTAAATTTAAATATTAAATTTTAAAGAATTTGGTAGATATGTGCAGAAATGCATTTTGAACCCGTAGTAAATTGATTGCTGAAAACTGAACATATGAATTGGGTTATGGTACTAAATTTCACTTAACGATTTTTTGGTGGGATTGCACTTTCCTATATGTTAGAAAAGTGTAAATAAATGATTTTTGTAAAAAGTTAAAATGTATATAAAAGAATTTCTATGTTTGAAGTGTAAATAAACGATTTTCAGGGAGATACTCGTATATCTCAATTTCAGATGAACTGATTTTTTTGAAAAATTATAAATGAGTCTACTTTGATTATGTCACGAATTGAATAACTTGTGAGATATCTCAGATATCGGGTGCCCTTAAGATTTAAAAGAAATATTTAAAATAAAACTTTTTTATGTACATAATAATCTACCCATTTTTTTTTCTACAACAACAACACTAATTTGCAGATATGTCATATCAAAAACGCCATATAATTTTTAACTTCAACATTTCCCTACCGCTGTTTGAATAACACATCTTCTTACCAGTTCATATAAAAAAGGACCAATTTCAAAAAACGGTAATAAATTGAAGAAATTTCAAACACATGTTGGCGAATGAATCAAAAACTTGTATAATATTTCATTAATTGAGAAATAATGACACTAAACAAAAATAAAAATTCACGTTCAGATTTCAGATCACTTCTCGAAGAGAAAACTAATTTCATTTTAAAGTTAAACACTTAAAATATGTATAAAAAGAGTTCTTTCAAATAGAAAAAAAAACAACCACACCAATATTAAATGTATTTCAAGTAAAATAAATGAAGGTTGGGAAAAAAGAGAAGAAATTTTAATGATAACGACTTAAGGTTGCCAATTATGAAAAAAATTTAGAAAATTTAGTGTCTAAGTAAATTTTTTTTATAATATAAATTAAAATACATTCATATTATAGAAATGCGCACAAATAAGTTTTATATTTCATTTTATTCAACAGATTTTTACGGGAACATATAGACTACGATATTTAACGGATTAAGGGCTGAGGCAAACACGCAATTTTTACTTTTGCTACTACTGCTTGATTGTAAAACCATTGTGAATACATCTAAACAACTAAATGATTGCATCATTTCAAACCGATGATTTTAAACAAAAATTACAAACATGTCTGCTTGAATATAAACCTATGAAAAGCATAGGCAATCAAACAGTTACAAAACTAAATATTGCATGTCTGCCTGAGTCCTTAGAAAAACAAGAATATTATATCAAAGTTTATCAAGTATTCTACTAAATATTCTACTAAGTAATTTCAAGTATTCACAGTATATTAAATAAATAGTTCGTCAAGTTATTCTCACAATTGCTAATGTATTGGCAACATTATTTTTTGAATTTAAAATACTCATTATTTATTTACATTATTTTCTTGGTACGTTATTTTTACTGTAAAGGAAATGTCTACTAAAGATACCGGCAAAAATGAAATAAAAAATAAATTACTTATAAAAATAAAAATAAAATCAGTAAATTTTCTTGATGAAGTATTTGGTATGTACTATAAAAGACATGATCATTTGAACGTTACCTTTAGACTTTTTATTTTCCTTATATAGGTGAATACATAAAGTGTATAAAGGAAAATTATTATATAAAACATGATAAAACCTATTCTGACGACTCTCATTTATTATAGGAAAATATTAACTTAAAAACATAAATTTTATATTTACTCTTTGCACATTATCGATATTACTATATATACATGTATATATATTTTTAATGTTAGATAATTTTCAAGGTTTTCATCGTAAAAAGATTTTATATGCTTGCTACTTGTTATCGAATAAGAATTAAAATCAGTGGTTGTATGGAAACATCGATTAAATGGAGTTTCTTAGTTCTTAATTCTAAAATTCGATAAAAATCGAATTCTTTAGAGTCAATGCATATTCTCAAAAATCCGCTTAATATATTTTAATTTCTGACTCAATAATGAAAATCGAATGTATAAAGCCGAACTTCCACAATTTTTTATAAATTCATTTAAATTCAAATTCTTTACAGTTACATTCCATTGAAATTTTATTAATGAACTTCAGTTTTGAATAAATTTTCCTCCAAACATGTTTCTTCGATATAGGAAGTTTTTCCTTATGTCCATAGAAAAAAATTGCAATAATATAAATAGGTGAGAGGTAAACATTTTCTATCATTTTCACATTCTTGTAAAATGGTTTCTTATCATATCTCAAGAGACGTTAAAAAATTGATTTTATTCCCTAAAAAATCATTTAATGCCTTTTTTATTGATAAAAAACTCACTGTATTTTAAATAATTATTTATTTCAAAAATTTTATAATTTATATACACTTACGTATACATTTACCTTTAATTATATTGCTACAGTTGCACTTGGGCTTACAGCTTTTAATTCACAGTTTAAAAGTTCACTAAAATTATTACATTAGAAATTAGAATAACTAAAGCCTACAGCTATAACTAAAGCCTACTGCTGTTAAACTATAAATAAAATAACATAAACATTTCACGTTGTTAAAAACAAATCTGTTGATGCTTTATCTTTATATTGGTGCCATGAAAAAATCATAAAGTAATGGTTCAATTTTTGGAAGAAAATATTAGGAAAGCACCACTAACCAAAGAAAATCAGTTCCGCAGCTGAAGAAAGGTAATTGAAATAAGTAACATGCACATGAAAAATGAAGATATTAGGAATTTGGATGCTCAAGACAATTTTATTAGATTTTGGATGCTGTGCTCAATAGAATTAAAAGCTCCTTAAAGGTCAAAAACCGTTACATAATATAATTTAATCGCATTTTGATCCGGTTATTTATTTGGTCCCAATATTTCAAAGAATGAATGCAAAGATAAGTTAATTTTAATGAATCTGATCTTCGAAGTTTTATGATTCGAATTAAATATTTATAAACGAGCAATGAATTTTAATGTGTTAAAAGTTTTTCTACATTCAAAATATCAACTGCGTATACTTGCACATTATGCTTGTAGATCTAGCTTATTTGTTCAATGTACGTTCTTTAAGTGAAAGCTTTATTGTAAGTTGTTTAAAAAATGGCATCTGATAATAACAGACTTGTGTTTATATTCATCACTCAACATTTTTTATTCGGAAATTGTATTAGACTGCAAAAATTTAACATAATGAAGAATAGTGAGAAAGCTCCGGTAAAAATCATGATTTCATGTTAAATGAAATTAACATTGCCATTATAATGTACGAGTATGATATAGTTTTTGGAAATAAATTTTGAAAATTAATATTCAATATCTAACAATGAATGGAAAATGCAAATATGAAAGTTTTCAAAATTCATAACATTCTGTGATTGACGTAATTTTAATTTTCTTTAACGTAAAAATATTGATGAAACAATGAACCATCAATTACAAGTATTTGTAATTGGTGTAAGTAAATGTAATGATCAACAAATACATTAAAATTGTGCAAAATTAAAATTTGTTTATTGCAATTATTTGACAACAAAATAAAATCTTAGTCTAACAAGCATTTTGTAATTAATTACAAAAGGCGAATTCTCTCTATGAACACGAAATTATTTAAGAGCTTACCATATTGTAACAAAATCTTAAAATTTTTCCAGAAATATGCAAATTAAATATAATTTTTTGTTTCATGCATTTTTACATGGGAGAAACCCCGAAATTTATTTTTTTAATTTGTGATCCAATATATAGTATAAAAATAGAACAACGTTAACCAAAGTGAAAAGCTTTCATTGTTTTTTTTTCCAAAATGAACTGAAACCAAAATTTTAAAAATAACCACAAATGCGTAATGTCGTTAGTATATAAACTTGAAAGAAAAGTTTGTAAAATTCAGTTCAATAATTACACTCCGAAAGTAACTTTACTAATTACAAATCAATATTACAAAATGTTATCCATCAATAAGAGTATTGCAGCAATATTTTTGTTAGCTTGTGTTTTCTATACTGTTAACGCAAAAGTATTTCAACGTTGTGAATTGGCTAGAACACTTTCACATTGGGGTGTTTCCAGACAAGATATTTTAGAATGGGTTTGTATTGCTGAATTTGAAAGTTCCTTTAATACTAGAGCAATTAATCATAACAATGTTGATGGAAGTTGGGATTGGGGTCTCTTTCAAATAAATGATCGTTACTGGTGTGACGGTGGTAAACCGACTTCTAATGGCTGTGGAGTAAATTGCAGAAAATTTTTGACTGATGATATAGGTGCAGCTTTCAATTGTGCTCGTAAAATAAAGAATGCTCACCATTATGATCATAATGGATTTGGTGCTTGGGTCGCATGGAGAAACCATTGCCAAGGTTGGGTACCAAGTAAACAACAAACTCAACATTGTTTTTAATACCATCATAGTAGCACATTCATGTAAATGAATTCGATATACTTATTCTAAATGTTTTAGAATTACTTTTGAAATATAAACGCAAATAAATTTTTATTTCAAAATGTTTTTCTTGAGCTTTTAATTATTTACAAATACCTGTACTGTTTATTATGCTTTATACTTTGCGGTCTTACGAAAACAACTACTGATTCTATTTCATGATAAAAAAGCAATTGTTATTTTTATGAACTACATAGTTTTTGCGTACACAAACATTAACATTTACTTTGACCAAAAGTAATACTAAACTATATTTAATTTCATTCTTTAAATAAATATAAAGTGAAAATTATTACAAAATTCATAGCCATGATAAGTTTTTATTAATTTGAAGACAAATTTTGAAATAATTAAAGTTGTTTCAAAATTGTAGTATATATACGTATATACTAAGAACCAACCTTAAATTATATTTTGAAACGTTCCGAAGTAAAAAATTTACAACAAAAGATTCTTAATCTTGTATACTTCGTAAATAACTTTTGAAGTTGTCAAATAATTTCAACAACTTTCATCAAACACATTGCCCCTACTAATATATTTACTTTTACTAGCTTTACCCTACTAACACCGCAGCTTTTGCAGTTTCTGAAATATACCCAAAGAAATTTTGAACTTGTTTGGCGGCTACCCGAACCAGTACCTCCATCATATTAAAATTTGGCGAACTTAGCTCAATTAGTTTTTGAGTTATCGTTGGGATGAACGGACGGCCGAATGGACAAACGGAGACAAAGAACTCTACAACGAACAAATAGACTCAGGATTCAACGCTGATCAAAAACATATACTTGAGTCTATATCTCATACCATTATTTCTTAGCGTTACAAAGAGTAAGGCAAATTTAGTATATCCTTGGAACATACGCTCGTACGAGTATAAATATAAGGTAAAAATTATTCAAATAATGATTTTGTTGGACGCTCAGTTAATTTTTCATTCACTTTTACATATCTAAAATCAATGGGCTCCTGTATCAACTGAAAATGTTTTATAAAAACAATATTTATTATTTTAATAGGTTCTTCTTAATACTAACTTCCGGTGCTTAGTAACTTAGTACGAGATTGCCATGTGTTTGTTTGTTGCATGTAGAATTGCAATAGCACTTTTTTGAATATAAAATTTTTTAAACAAATGATAAATTTTTTGCAGTTGTCAATCAGTACAAAAAAAGCTTTTTAAATTTTAAGTTAGACTTTATTACACTACAATTTGTGTGTGAGCAGCATTTTTATCTGAAAATGAGTGCGCAAACTCCATTAAGTTTTTCTAACTTACTCATTGTTAAATTAAAGACACACTTTCGCAAATTATTTTCACATGCAATGAGTAAAAACTGCTAACAAAAATGTCGTATTTTTAATGTGTAATTTTTACTGATTTTAATTTTACATATAAAATTTAAAATAAAAGGGAAGCCATTTCATGACATTTTTATAAGGGATTTGTTTTTTAAAATTCTTTTAATTCTACATGACATTTTCAGAATCTTGTTTGGCGTATCCTTCAGCATCCCGATTGCCACGAAGAATTGCTATAGCTAACAAATGTTTTATATATAATTTTTTTAATTTTTTTCTACAAAAACTATAAACAATTAAAAAATTTATTTGTAATGTGTGAAGAATTAACAACACAATATGAAATTAATTGAATGAATTCAGTGCTTGGTGGGCTTAATTCAAAACAATAATATTGAAGTTCTTAATTCAAATTTATATTAACTACATACTTTTTTTTAAATTTTTAATAAAGAAATTAATGCCTAAATCGCTTCTATTTAAATAAGACATTTTTGAGTTTGTTGTTTACTTTCCACCCAGCCTTGACAACGAGTTTTCCATGCGACCCAAGCACCAAAACCATTATGATCATGCGAATGAGCATTCTTTATTATACGGGCACAATTAAATGCAGCACTAATATCATCAGTTAGAAAATCATTACAACTTGTCTTACAAACATTAGCAGTTTGTTTGCCTCCATCACACCAATAGCGATCATTTAATTGGAAAAGACCCCAGTCCCAGCTACCATCCCAATTGTTATAATTAATTGCTTCCGTTCTGAAAGAGCTTTCAAATTCAGCGATGCAAACCCAGTCTAAAATATCATCTTTTGAAACATCATGTTGTAAAAGTTCTCTAGCTAATTCACAGCGTTGAAAAACTTTCGCATTAGCTAGACAAAGAATGCAAACAAAATTTATTGCTATAATTATTCTTTTAACTGACAACATTCTACTATCTTGATTTATTAAATATTATTCTATTATTAAAAAAAACGATATGTTGCTTTATGAATGAGATTTTTGAACTGAATTTTAAAAAAATTTTAATCATGTTTATATACTAGGGAAGCACTTTTGAATATGCGTGAATTTTTATTATATTTGATTTAAATCCAATTTTTTTGGGGAAACCGGTAAAGCTTTTCATAGCCTTGTTCTAATCACATACAACAAATACAGTAAAACAATAAAAAACTAACCACTTCAGAATTATTCACACTACAGGGAATTATGAAATTTATAATAATTTCAATCCTTTTAATTATACATTTCTATTTTTTCAATCGAATTGATGAACTTTGTTGAAAACGCTTTATTTAATAAGAAAAATATTTAATACGTCTAACTAAATGTAATTTTTTATGTAAGGATTATAGTACATATGAAATATACACATATGTATGTTTCCAAGAATCAAAACCACTTTAAGACGTTCCCTGTCCCAATACAAAAATGCAAAATTTAGAAAATATTTTTTCGTATGTCCCGGCCTTTTTCTTTACTTTATTATCGTACCAGCAGGTCCAGTGCACAAACACTGTACAGTTCCGTTACGTCCAGTCTAATAATTTGCTTTAGAAGTTTCATATACCCTCTGACGCACATATAGTTCAGAAACGTATCAGTGCTTATCCAGCGTACGTTTCCTAAACTATATGTGGATCAGCGGACAGGGAACGTGTTAAAGGTTTACAGTAATAGATTAAAAAACTACAATTGTTTCATTCTCATTATTTGTTTCGTTATAAACTCTTGCGATCTTATCTCAAATTCGTCAAAAAATGATTTGAAAAAAATTTTAGTTTTTGGATTTCACTGTATTTTGCAAAATATTCTTCTACCTTGTTTAATAAAATTATGATAGTGGAAGTATTTTTGTTCATTTTCTGTTGTTATACTATATAATACTTATGTATTTACATATAATTTAATATTGCAAAATACAAACAGGTTAAAATGTTGAAATTCGCCATATTACTGTATATCGACGATCATTACTGTATCTCGATGTCCACTTTTTTTTTGTTTAATTTAAGTTCTATATCAAATTTTTCTTTTCCAAAATACGAGTATATTGTAAAAAGAAAGAATAAAATTTCTCAAATTCTAAAGGTCAAGTACTTTAAAAAATTAATGGAAAGTTGCAGTCGTTTAACTAACATACTCAATTTACTTTGTTTACACAAAAATTTAGTTTATCAATGACGTTAACTTATTTTAATCTAAAAGATTTCAAGTTTATTTTAAAACAAATAATTTTATTTTTAATTTCAAAAGATTATTGCTGTTATCTTCATCAATATCAATCGTTTGGATTTGAACAAAAAATGATAAAAAATTACCAAAAGAAACGATAATAGAATAAAATTGACCGTGCCAACTTTGTGATGCCGTATGGAATCGTACCACTAACCTTAGTGTTTTTAAATAGTGGTTTTGTGTTATTAGTTCGTTACATAATTTGCTAAAACATGCTTCAATAATAATTGTTGAAGTAATAAAAATGACATTGTCGCACATAGTGTCCAACATATGGTCAGATAAATCTTGAAGTTGCATGGCATTTTCATAACATTTTTTTTTTTAAAAACAATTGCACCTACTTATTACCAAATTTTGTCGAAAAAAATTTTTGGTGCCACATTCTAAATAATTTCGAAGATATTGCAAAATAACTTTTCAAGTTGTATAGCAAAACAAAAATTAATATTAGGTACTATGTGTACTTGAGCAAAATTTTCAGAACTGCAATTTAAGTAGCCTCTGAAATATAGACAGAATATTTTAAGTCAGTCATCCAAATTGCCAATCAAAATAATTAAAGAAGCTTCTGGCATTTACAATGACAATTTATTTGAAAAAAATTTGATGAATTTAGCTTACATTGTCTTTTAATTATCTTTTAGACAAACGGTAAATATTATACAGGGGAAAATTGCTGAATCGTTCCAAAATTCAACGATGAGTAAGAATACATATACATACATGTTTGCATCTCAGCCCTTGTTAATTGCAACAATCTAGCGACAAATTCATAATAACTTATAAACATATGTACGTTGGTACGGTTATAAAAATTTTTCGATATTCATAGAAATGTTTATGGACCTAAGGGCAATCTAATAATAACGTAGAATTGTTTTCATAACGTAGATAATTTAAATAACTAAAAAAAGAGATAATTTTTTTTATAAAAGTAAAAATATTGTCATCTTTGAGTTTAGGTATTCCACTTAAAAAGTACGTCACTGGTTTGATTCCAGTTTAAGGAAAACATTTTTTTTAATGTTTCACATACGTTACATTAAATACATTATGTACAGTTATTTTAATATTATGAAAAGAAAAAGAAATCATGTAAAAATTTTCAAAAAATCACAAAAGAAGTTTTTTTTACATGAAAATTTAGGCCGGTAATGGACAATGCTTTTTAAGTGTTCGTAAAAATTTTGCGATAGGAAGTATACACATTCAAACTTTTGCTGCTTTAAAATCTTTTTGGTATAGTAGTTATTTGATTTTCAATCTAAAGGTACCTGGCCATAACTGATGGCTTCTTTTAATAATATTCTAAATATTAGATTATTCTTTTAATCAGAAAAATTATTTGCATCAATGAAGTAAAATATTCAAGATTTCTTCTTTGTTCGAACGAGTTAAGAAAAAAAATATTAGTAAGTATTTTTCAGATTACTTATTACCACGCGTGCAACATCACTTTACTAGATTTTCATAAATGAGTATAATCGTTAAATTCTACACTATTTTTTCTATGATTAAATTTAAATTTGTGCATTTGATATAATAAAGACTCAAAATACAAAATGTATGTAGATAATTGCGTTGATTTTTTTATAAGATACTTCCATAATTAAATGCAAATATTTATATCATAAGCATACTTGAAGATAAAAACTTAAGGTTACATCATTGATAATGAACCTTTGATAACTAAATATTAAAGGGCACTAAAAATCTGTAGATACGAGATAAATCTAAAAAACTTTAGAGGTTTGTAAACACATTCGCTAAATGTTGAAATACGAATACATATACATACATGTAAGTACGAACATCTTGTGTATGTAAATATTATTCAGATTACGGTATGAAGATAAATAAATAATTGTTTAATTTACATCTAAGAGTAGTATACTACGTAGCCTTTATACTTAATATTTTTGATAATCTTTGCTTTCATTGATAAATATTTATTGTAAACACAAGCGCAGACATAATACGTTATAATATACGTATAAGACAAGCGAGCACTTTTAAGTGAGTTGTTCGTTTTTAAACCAGAAAGTTTTTAAAATTCACTACGAATTTAAAAATCGATTAAAATCTTAATCTATTGTAAATAATCGTAAAAATTTATTCAATTTGCTTGCTAAAATTGTTTTAATTTAAATAAATTACAAATAAGCACTTAAAGCTTAGAGTTTGTCATTTTTTCTATAAATTATATTTTTCGAAATAAAAAATATTGTATACATTTGAATAAAGTATGAGACAAAGAGTAGCCAACGAGTTAAAAGTTTTTAAATTTTAATTTATTTACCTTTTTTTGTTAAAACGTTGTTCTCAAATTTGCGTTTTAAAATACTAAAACATATAGTAAATGATACGATCAATACACACACCCACACATGTTTGCACAAGAAAAACCTAATAATATTATGTTTAGGTAGTATATTATGAAATACGAGAAAAGAGCAGACTTATCACTCTGAAGCCTGAATCAGCAATAGAATGAACAAAAAATATTTTATTTGAATTTTTTATTAAAATATTTTCGTAAAACAAACAAATCTGGAAATTTTACTAAAATCTTCTCAAACATTTATTATGATATTTTGACAAAATAATGGCGAAATTTCGATATTTTAAAGAAAAATTATCATGTAAAATACTATACAATTTAAGTAATTAAGTAAACTGTGAAATTAGCGTAAAAATCTGATCTGGTCATATTACCGACCTGACAGTTCCCGATGCTTAACATATTTTAAAAGTTGATCAATAATTAGTAACATAGTCAGAAAAACACATGTATATAAAATTTCATAAAAATTCTAATTCTAAAAAAACTTCTCCCTAATATGCAGAAGTGTATTTTACCGAAAATAATTTATGAAATATAAAAATGTTAATTATACTTATGGGGAATCCCCTCAATTGGAATAGCGAAATTTAATTCATGTCTTATGACTAAGACAATTTTTACTTTTACTCAAAGCTTTTTTGTTTCGAGTTTGCTTATTTCAATCGTACACAATGTGAATATTATCTTTCCATGAAATTTTCCTCCTCAATGAAATGACAATATGTATAGAGAACTTCAGCTTTACCTACACACACAGCATGAATTTAAATAGAAAAAAATTCAAACAATCAATAAAAAATAAATAAAATTTATTTTCATAGCTTTATACATAATTAATATACATACATATTTACATATATACGGGTGAATAATTAAAATTATTTATACAAATGTCTATAGTAAAATGATTGTAGATTGTAGATTTTTATAACGGGGGCAACAGTGCACCGCGACCACGTATGAGGATCTATTGTGCGCCCCCATCCGAGTGCGGTGCAACACACGCTGGAGACCCACCCTCCTGATGAACTGAAGCAATTTGTGAGGACCAGAAGACCGTAACTTCGACACCGTTAGAGAAAAGCCTCCCAGCACCTCCCCCTCTTACGAGCAAGAGCATTACACTCCCCCAGGAGGTGCACCGAGGTCTCTCCATACTCCCCACAGAATCTGCAAGTATCCTCATTTTCCAGGCCCAGCCAACTGAGGTGTCCCCTAAGCCTGCAGTGACCAGTCAAAATTCCGGTGAGGACTCTCACCTGGTTCTTGCCCATCCCTATAATTTTCTTAAATCGCTTCTGGTCATAATCTCCCAGGAGCTGCTTGGCTTGCCGCAGCCCCAGAAGACTTCTCCAGCGCTCCCTACCGCCTTCTTTCTGATTCTTTCCTTAATTCCCAACGA